GGTTAAAAATATGCTAAAGTTGTGTAGCGTTTCTTTACAAAGTGATATTTCCAACTACTGGCCTGACAGCAGAATGCAGTGTTTTTAATCGTTTTCACAGATCCATGTGAACTGGGATCGTTTTGACAACGCTTTAATCTGTACGTGAAAAACGTAAAGGAAAAACTTTTCCGTTTTTAGTACATCGTTGTCGTGTAAACACACCATAATTCTCACTAGGGGAGTTGTTGAAATCTTGCCTGAACATATAAACTGCTGAATAAAACGTCAACGTAATAGAAACCAATCATTCGCAGTTATTGTTTTTATGCTCCTGAAAGCCAATAAAACATCTTTATATGCACAATTGTGATGTTGCCATGTGTGGCTATCCATGAATCACAGCTTGATCTAAAGGAGCCAGTGCAAACACAATGAAAAGGAACCACCAAGGACACCCTTTGCCGCTTGAGCGCCAAAAAAGCACAGTCAATGTGTTTGAACGGTCGACTTTTACTGAAGGTTTCTCTGGTGACGCAAAATGGGATGCGCTGGTCCCCGTATTCCCCCCTCATTAAAACACATCATGTTTAATAGGTCAATGGCTGAGCCTCAAACTCGGCTATATAAGCCTGAGATTATGGCTTCCTCTCTCATCACTGAGCTCTGGGATTGTTGTGCTTGGACTATAGAGTGTCACAGCTCAGTTTTCTCATAAAAGAAAAAGGGATTTGAATACACAAAGTAGAGAATGAGTCTGGTTTGGAAAAAGGTAGTATGCGGCTGCTAGGTCAGCATTACTATACCAATCACTAAAGCCAGACCTAACATTTCATATTAACAAGACATTGATGGACCAAATGCAGTTATTGACTGTGCTGTACTCATATATGAGGATCTTTTGCTATACCGGTATGCCAATGTCAATAAAATGCCCAATTCATCAATATATATTGCATATTACTATATTTATATAAATCAACTACATGAAAATAAGATCTTAACCCTGTAAAGTCTGATATATAAAATAATAGTCAGGAAAAAAAAAATTTAAAGGAAAAAATATGTGTTTTTTGTTGAATATCATATTTGATACATAGGCTTTTATGGCTCTTAAAGTATGATATAGTGAGAATATGCAAAAAAACCTTTGAAACTGAACAAAAAATACACAATTTGGTGCAGTTACTGATATTTATACGTCCAATAAGTTCTGATAGCTTGTAATGTAAATCAGCATATCAGTTCTCACTCTATATCTCCCAATAATATATCTTAGTAAGATGATATTTAAAAGCTTAGTTTTATGATCAAAGCTCTGTAGTTTTAAAACATATAATGCAATGCAATCCAATGAGAGATAAACAAATAAACATTTCTCAAAAGCCTGAAGTATCATATTTGATACATTTTGACAGGATTTTGATGTGTTTAATGTTTCTTGATTTTGAGTGATGAATGTACAATCAAGTAAACCTAAGTTGCTTCAGCGCAAGTGTTCTTCTTGAAATATTACTAACCATATAAAAGCTATTCTGTTTACTTTATAAAAATCAGTAAAGATTCCACATCAAAAAGAGGTGTACCACAACCTCATGGTGGACATTTTAGAATGATATAAAAGGCCTTTTACTTGCTAAAAAATATAAATTATCAATCAGACAACAGAAGGCATGTAGTAGATTGTGCACAACAGGTTTTTCAGCAAAGTTTTGATCATGTTGATACTTTAAAAGCCTTAAAAATGTGTGTATCAAATATGATACAGTAGGCTTTATAGGGTTAAGATGTCTTCAAACCTCATGATGCTTTGGATTTAGAAGTTGTCAGCCAGTTACTAATCCTATTCTGGTTTATATGATCCAAAGCTGCACACCCTTGTGCCAAATATCTAAACCCTATATTGCCTGATTCGAGGATGTGAAATATTTGGTGGTGGGCAAACATCAAGCAAATCCATCTGACTCAGCTTTTTCCAAACATGCCGGGTTTCTTTGCTTATCCACATCTAATTTGTAGTCGACTTCTGTGACAAAAGCATTTCAGAGTATCATTTTAGACTTTCACAATCATATCCTTTATTGACATGTTTACGTCACGCTAGAGCTTACAAGTAAAGACAAGAATATAGATGTTGCCAATAATGCACTATTGCTTCAGGGGATTTTTGCTGAATGAGTTTTGACAAAATAATGACAGATCTGTAACATGTAATGACAGAGTGAAACAGTGATCCGTTGCCCCACTTGGACCAATTTCTTAAGGCAAATAAGTTATATAACAAATAAAATATAAAACTATATTGTCTGAAGATGTGAAATCACATACTGTTTTATTCCCTTCAGTATGATTTCTAAAGACCCAAAAAGAGCAGAAGAACAGGTTTTCTTTCATCATACACACACATAGCCATACTGTAATTTATTAGTCAATTCAATTATTTATCCAGATGGAATTTTGAGCAAGTACAGGACTACATACTACTGCCAATACATATACGACACGCTGCTGTGAGCAAGTAAGACATGCTGCTGCTGTACAATATAGCGTACATGAATTACCTGTAGTAAATCTATACAGGTGGAGCTGGGGAGGGTGGAGGTTTTTTTTGAAAGCGCATTGGAACTGCTACAGCAAATGCTGACCGAATATTTGAAGGTTGAGCAGCAAGCTCATTGGCTACTGATACAGCAGGAACCAATCAACTGTGCCCTTCCTAAAATGATGTGATTGCAAGCAGATTGAATTAAGTAAAGACTCTGGCGTGGCATCCATGACATCTGGAGACTCTGGCGTGGCAACCATGACATCTGGAGACTCTGGAGACCATGAAGGCTGAAGCCAACACAGGACTGAGCTCTGGGGAAGAAGTGGGCTCTGAAGGGGACTCTTGGGCTGGAGAGGGCCCTGGAGCGAACTCATGGCACGCTGGAGCGGGCTCTGGTGTGGCATCATGGGCTGGAGCAGGTTCTGAAGTAGACTCATGGGCTGGAGCGGGCTCTGGAGTGGATTCATGGGCTGGAGCAGGTTCTGGAGCGGACTCATGGGCTGGGGCGGGCTGTGAAGGGGACTCATGGGCTGGAGCAGGTTCTGGAGCAGACTCATGGGCTGGAGCGGGCTCTGGAGTAGATTCATGGGCTGGACAGGTTCTGGAGCAGACTTATGGGCTGGAGCGGGCTCTGAAGGGGACTCATGGGCTTGAGCGGGCTCTGAAGGGGACTCATGGGCTGGAGCGGGCTTTGGTGTGGACTCAAGGGCTGGAGCAGGTTCTGGAGCGGACTCATGGGCTGGAGCGGGCTCTGGAGTGGACTCATGGGCTGAAGCAGGTTCTGGAGCGGACTCATGGGCTGGAGTGGGCTCTGGAGTGGACTCATGGGCTGGAGCAGGTTCTGGAGCAGACTCATGGGCTGGAGCAGGTTCTGGAGTAGACTCATGGGCTGGAGCGGGTTCTGGAGTGTATTCATGGACTGGAGCGGGCTCTGGAGTGGACTCAAGGCCTGAAGCAGGTTCTGGAGCAGACTCATGTGCTGGAGTGGGCTCTGAAGGAGACTCATGGGCTGGAGTGAGCTCTTGAGTAGATTCATGGGCTGGACAGGTTCTGGAGCAGACTTATGGGCTGGAGTTGGCTCTAAGGGCACTCATGGGCTGGAGCGGGCTCTGAAGGGGACTCATGGGCTGGAGCGGGCTCTGAAGGGGACTCATGGGCTGGAGCGGGCTTTGGTGTGGACTCAAGGGCTGGAGCAGGTTCTGGAGCGGACTCATGGGCTGAAGCGGGCTCTGGAGTGGACTCATGGGCTGAAGCAGGTTCTGGAGCGGACTCATGGGCTGGAGTGGGCTCTAGAGTGGACTCATGGGTTGAAGCAGGTTCTGGAGTTGGCTCTGGAGTGAACTCATGGGCTGATGCAGATTCTGGAGTGGACTCATGGGCTGAAGCAGATTCTGGAGTGGACTCATGGGCTGAAGCAGGTTTTGGAGCGGACTTATGGGCTGGAGTGAGCTCTTGTCTTGAGTAGACTCATGGGTTGAAGCAGGTTCTGGAGTAGACTCATGGGCTGGAGTTGGCTCTGGAGTGGACTCATGGGCTGAAGCAGATTCTGGAGTGGACTCATGGGCTGAAGCAGGTTCTGGAGTGGACTCATGGGCTGAAGCAGGTTTTGGAGCAGACTTATGGGCTGGAGTGGGCTATGGAGTGGACTCATGGGCTGACGCAGGTTCTGGAGTAGACTCATGGGCTAGAGCGGGCTCGGGAGTAGATTCATGGGCTGTAGTGGGCTTTGGAGTGGACTCATGAGCTGGAGCGGGCTCTGGAGTAGACTCATGGGCTGGAGTGGGCTCTGGAGTGGACTCATGGGCTGGAGTGGGCTCTGGAGCGGACTCATGGGATGGAGTGGGCTATGGAGTGGACTCATGGGCTGGAGTGGGCTATGGAGCGGATTCATGGGCTGGAGTGGGCTCTATAATGGACTCATGGGCTGGAGTGGGCTCTGTAGTGAACTTATGGACTGAAGCAGGTTCTGGAGCGGACTCATGGGCTGAAGCAGGTTCTGGAGCGGACTCATGGGCTGGAGTGGGCTCTGGAGTGGATTCATGGGTTGGAGTGGGTGGAGAGTAATGGGAAGTGTAGTCCAGGACAGAATGACAGTGGTCTGGGGAGGAGTGCCCTCTGGTGGATATGCAGGGCACTCCAACTGGTGATTGTGACAGATGAAAAGAAAGTTAAAAACAATAGCATTTATTTGAAATAGAAGTCTTAACATTACAAATGCCTTTAATGTCACTTTTGATCAATTTAATACATCCCTGCTCAATAAAAAGTATTAATTTCTTTAAATATATATTTATATAGAGCCTGTATTTATTATCTTATATATACATATATTAAAGGGAATTAAAATAATAATTAACAGCAGGTTACCACACATAATAGTACAAAGTATAAAAAAACAAAAGCTGGAGAAAAATGTGTTAAATATTTTTATATAAGCATTTATATAACCATTAATGTATTGACAGAACTAATGACATATTACAAAACGATAACTGGTCGACAAACATCCTGCTGTCGTGTGGTGGTGGTGAGTAATCCTCTGTGGCTCTGGAGTTGGTTTGAGATGATTTACGTTCTTTGCGTTTTCATCTCGACATCGTTCGTCAGAGCGACGGAGTTTGGCCAAGAACACAGCCTTCTTCAGCCTCCCCCTCCTCTCCTTCTCTATAAAAGGAGCTGAGCTGCTTCCACAGAGTCAGTCCGAGTCCACAGCTGCCAAACGACCTCAACTACTCACACTTGTTTGACTTTCAAGGAAAATACTCTAGCCGCAAGACACTGAGCTGCAGCAACCTCTGGAATAGCTCGTGGAAAAGATTCAGACCAGGTAAACTATGTTTTTGACTTTTTATTATATAAAAGATAGATCACAGAGAGAGTTAGATTTACATAGGCATTCTTGATTAATTGCATTTAGATGCATTGAGTGAATTAAAGTTCAGAATCAAGAGAGGAGCTTTTTTCCTCCTTTTTTGGTAATGAACCATTGATAGTGGAGCTCAGGTGATGAGTATCAAAATGCAATTTGAGCATGATTTTGGACGTTAGTTGCACTCATTGCCAAACTGGAAAATGTGCATGTGGTTCGACTGTCACGCTGTCATAACAATCTCTTAAACTTTAATATTTGTGCAAAGCACAATGTGCACAAACCGAAAAGCATTTTGCCTTATAAAGTGCAGATGGACCACCTGCCAATGTTTATGTGGACTAGGTGCCCGGTTGGCATTTTCCTGGCTGCTCTGTCTGTCATGGTATAAAAATCCAGGAGAGGGATGAGCAGAACTAGAGAGAAAGAAAGGGAGGCAGCTGGAACTGAAGCAGTGCCTGTGTTTACTCAGACTTGGTGTTGGATGTCAAGGCTCTGCAGAGAGAGTGAGAAAGTGTGAGGAGTAAAAATTAGAGGGATTTGGATTGTTCTATAAATCCTGATAAGATTCTGGGGCTTGTTGTTTCACGTGTTTGGCTCATCTGCATTTAGATGTGTGGGCTGGAGGTGGCCACTTTTCTCTTCCATCTCCTCCAATAAATAACCCTAATTCACTTGCTCTTCGCTCCCATTCTTGCACCCCCTCCAGTCGCTGTCCAATCCAGGACAATTCCATTCCCAGAGAAAGTCAGTCTTGGACAGAGAAGAATCTGCTTTGATAAATGTGTGTGTGTTCCTCTCCTTATTGCTAATGAATTATCCTTTGTCCCACTGTCACCTCAGGATATTAATGAGCTTAATAAACAAAGTTCAGCAAATGGATGGATGCTGAACATGCGGAGATCAAACAAACCCGCTGGTCCATCAAACTAACAAATCTAATCGAAGGAGATCAGGCTTAGTAGTTTGGTCTTTTGAGTAGCGATGAAAGATTACAATGGGTTTTTGTTATGGAGGGGCTTTGATAGATTTCACTGTAATGATGAGGCCTTTGGTTTGACATGTCCAAACTGGGGCGAACTGACTATGACAAACAATTAAGATTCTTCAAATTAGAGCAAAAACTATTCATTCAATGTGGATCAATGTGGTGAGTGCTGCTCCAGTGAGGATCGATGGCAAATTTCATCTGAGCAAGTTATGGCAATTCAGCAGAAAGAAAAAGGGTGAATTCTGTTTATCCAAAACTCCTGTCTGTCATATTTCACAGCACTGTCATAAGAAACCAACAAGGAATTGCCTCTTTAAGGACCATTAAGATGTTTTGCATTTTGACATTATTTTCATATTCTTATGACAATTAAATGCATTTGACCTCTCAAAAGTAATATCACAGTGAATCTTATTTTTCTTAAAATCATGCTTGCTTCATGCAAAATTACCTGATTTGGGTGTGAAATGTAACTGGACATGTTTTTGTTAGATTCAGCTAATGGACAAGCAGAGTTTAAACAAAGGAGCAGTTACTGCAAAACATGGATGGATGAATTTTATGTAGTTCCAGAATAGCAACTCAGATTCTGTTGTTATTGGATTCATCTATTTGTGGTGTCTGTTTAGCCAGGATGCAATAATAGTGACTAATGAAGCCAGTTTAGCAAATTCCTCTTTGAAACACTTATTTCTCTTTTTGAGTAAACACATGGACATGTGTTTACTATCCATCGTTTTCTCCAATAACTTTCCCAACACTTATCCTCATGGAAACCATATTTCCTTCCAGATTTTCCAGAACAGAGCACTGAAGACACGCTCACACAAGGCAGTCTACTGTGATCCGACCCTGAAAGCATCAACGCTGCCATGAACAGTCTCGTTTCCATCGCCCTGATATTCCTGGGTGCCAGCTTGTCTGCTTCCCTCTTCCTTCCCGACTCCCTGGAGCTGAGGCAGTTAATGCAACGCTACCAGGATGAGCTGGAACCCAACAGCACAAAAGCTGATGTGCCTGTACGCACTCGCAGAGCCATCAAGTGGACGGACAGGGAGGAGATCCTGCAACTGCACAACAAGCTGAGAGGAGAGGTGTACCCGACTGCCTCCAACATGGAGTACATGGTGAGAATGTCATTTTACACTCACATCCAACTTTATTATGATTTACTGTAACATCAAGGGTCTGTACAGAGACGCTGAAAACTCAGAGGGTTCTGTTCCAAAACCTAGGGAGTTACCCATCTAGAAAGCATTTCAAGCCATCATAAGTGTGCGGCAGACACTAAGTTTGTTTCAAAAGGTAGGCAATAACATTATGCTGACATCTAAGTGCCTTATTTTGGCTAAAGAGACACTGAGAAGAAAACCTCAGAATGTGACAAGCTGTACATTTTTACAGCATTCATTCATTAATAAATACAATCAATTAAAAATAGTTCAATCTGTTTTAAAATGCATTATTTTATCCAACATTTCTGTGTGTGCTATGTATTACCTTGTGAAAATGAAGTACATGTAAGCATACACAGCGCAATTAAGCACACTTCTTTTTCCCCAAGAGTTGTTACGCTTATTAATACTCTGTTCCCTGCTGACAGATCCAGCATAAACAAGCATGAATTCCACATTGGTCCAAGCGGTATTATGCTAGTTAGGCCTGGTATAGTAGCTGGTGGACCAGCATAGTCATGCTGTTCTCAAACTAAATTGGGCTGGAATAGCTGGTCCAGCAAACTGGGGACCAGCAAACCAGCGTCTCATGCTGATTCCAGCATGCATTTTTCAGCAGGGTTAGCTTAGCAACATGCTAACATAAGATCCTATTAGTTTCTCTAGTTTCCCAGTGCTGTCTGTGCATATGAAGAGTGTATCAAAGCCGTCACTAATGAAGTTCTATTTAAGTTAGTATGCTGCTTTAGAATATAACTGTCAATGTAGACAGCAAGACACTTCAGTTGGTTTTAGAACCGAGATGCAATGAGTTTAGTCTGCAGCAAAGGTATTTTTATGTCGACCACACAGCTGTACAACACCAACACTCGGTTCTGCATTAATGACCCTGGTTTATAGGCTACTAATTGCGTTTTGTGTTAGCATCAGTCATCTTTTTTTCTGGTGCAGTAAATATCTTTAGGTTTGCTTAGGGGCCAAATACAGGCTTCATGGGAAGACACGTTGATTTTACAAGTGTAATCTTGTCTGGAAAAGATGAACTCACTGGGATGCAGAGCAGCCAGCGTGGTGTGGTGCCTTTTTACTGTGGAGACAATTGCACTGTAGCTTATAGCTGAGACAGGAGTCAAGACACAGGTAGAAAAATTAGTTAAAAAAATAGATTAGTGACATTACTGGAACAGATATGAGGCTTCAGTTAAGTGACAAAAATGGCAGGTACTGTATGCTGCCTTGAAATCGCACGTGTCAAAGGGATTCCCTTTGTTTGTCCCTACGTTTTCGGACACTTAACTGCATTTTAATTGCAATTAAATGAAAATGTATTATGGTTTTCATTTATATTAAATGCAGTTAGTTTAACTTTTTTTTGACCCACTTAAGTAGGACTACAACATTATATGCAAGTTCATTTGTATGCCATTGCAAAGTAAACCTTTTTGTAGGAAACGCTTTAATCATAGGTGTTCTGGGGACCTATTGAGAGCACAGCCTTGCTTTATTGCTATTCCCTGTGTACCTTTGCATATGGTACATTGAAAGTGAATGTAATGTTGATGTAGTGAGGGAAAGATACAAAGAGAAAGGCCTTATGGTTAATGTAGTTGGGTTGATGCCTTTGAGAAAGACAGGAGTCTACCACAAGCAGGGGTTTCAGAACTGGTGCCAGGCCTCAGCGAACAAGTAAGGGTTTCAGAAACGTGGCTTAGTCCCAAACAGCACCTTTAGAACTGAGGTTACAGAATGTGTGAGTGTTTGTGCCCATAATGCAGTTGGAAATTTACTGAGAGTTCCTCAGAGGTGAAGAACCCTGTTCTGTGGGGCGAACTGAGTCCTCTCTCCCTACAGGTGGAGAAATAAGCTGGGGAAATTTGTCTCATTTAACCCTGATTGCTGGGGATTTACAATGGATGTGAGCCAAGCTCTGATGTGCGTGCATGTAACCAATATTTTAGTTGTATTGGGCCTGATTCCCAGTCCTATACTGAAGATGAAGAGTTAGAGGAAGGCAAAGAATAAAACTCAGCATGTTCAGTATTTTGTTAAAGTCTCAGTGCAAATATACGAGAATTATGAATCCGTTGTGTTCTGCTGGGAGTTTGATTTAGCTTGTGTGGGTATGACCAGGTTTGGGATGATGAACTGGAGAAGTCGGCAACCTATTGGGCGGAACAATGCCAGTGGGAACATGGACCTCAAGACCTTCTGATGTCCATCGGGCAGAACCTTGCAGTGCACTGGGGAAGGTATGAGTACACACACAATTACAAAGACCATATCAGTCTGTTCCTGTATCATAACCGGTTGTGCAAGGTGCTAATAATGGCCACAGTCGTGGAAAACATGGATATATTAGAATATTTGAATTTTAAGATTGTGATTTCAGGCCTGAAAAAGTCTTTAGAGATTGAAATTGTTCATTCAGATCCGGGGACATACTGTATTTTCCACATTTGTTTGATTTTTTTGTGTGTGTCTTATTTAACATTTAGGCATACTTTTATGTATTTATCAAATGCGTCTTACGGTGTGGTCACATTTTTCTCATTTAAATAATAAAGCAACTCGATCTTCTTTATATCAAATCGACACCTCATAAAACCTGTGAGAACATTTTTACCAGGTGAATAGTACGGAAACGTTCCCCTAACCCCACCCGTAAACAGCCGTCATTAGATCATATGAAAATGTACTAATGAGATGTCATACGAATTAGACAGCAATTTGCTAAAGTTTAAAATATTTATGAATTGGCATGAGATTGTTTTGTAGTTGCGTTGCATGAAGACGAGCTCACACAGAGGTCACTTACCAACCAAGCAGCTTTCTGTTTGGTAACTCTGCAAATTCGACTCAAGTCCAATGCGAAATCTACACGAGTTGTTTCACCCTAATGCGAATCCTATTGAAATGACTGGATTTCGAATGTGAAATTTTGCCAAACAACAGTAAATGTGACTGCTTCCAAGTGATAATTTTATCAGTTCATGCATTCACTAGGAATCAAACCATAACATTGGTGTTGCTAGTGCAATTCTCTACTGTTTGAGCTGACATGAACTCATTTTTACTTAAACTATCGTTGCTAATCTTTTAAACCAATTACATCCATGGTCTAACATAGATATAATCCTTATCCATTATTCATGAATTTGAGAAAGTCGTGGAAATGCATCAGTGTAGGAAACCTGAATGTAAATGTCATGGGTTTGCAAAACATTTACTGTGAATGTGCTTTACAGTAAGTTGCTTTGTGACATGACGCGAAGGCCAAGTGTGCCAACCCATAGCCTACTCGGAATTTGTCCTCTATATTGAAAATCGAACCAGTGACCTTATATGTTACCAGTCTGACTCTCTTACTATAAGGCCATGACTGCCCCTTGTTTAAGTACTGGTGTGTGTGATACTCATAATCATATTAAATAATTGTATCTCGTTCCTGATAGGTACCGCTCTCCTGCCTACCATGTGCAGGCCTGGTACGATGAGGTGAAGGACTACACCTACCCTTACCCGCAGGAGTGCAACCCGTGGTGCCCTGAGCGCTGCTCTGGACCCATGTGCACCCACTACACACAAGTGAGTGAGAAAGATTAGTTGGCTAACAATTATCCCACTGGGACTAAACAACATGACCTTGTTTATGATTTTAAAACTCGCGTGCGAAGGTGTGCACTTGTTAGCTTGGGTTTACTCCTCACCAACGGTTTTCAATAAGTAGCATGTGTGACCTGCATTAAAATAGAAGTGCCATTGAAAACAGCACATGGAGTGCAGCCTTGACCAATGGTGTTCATTGCCGCTCGATTCATATATGATTTCTTATTGCCAAATTTGGGATTTTCATTGGAGGGACAGAAATCTCACAGGTTTCATTAAAAATATCTTCATTTAATGAAAGTCTGTGTTTGGACGACATGAGGGCGGTTGACAAATTTTTCATTTTTGGGTGAATCTTTTGGGAATTATCCTTCGTAGTGTCCAAATACTATTTAGATTCACTGTAGGTAATTATATGTAACCAGTGGTTTGCTGCAGCCCTCATTCTGTTTCATTCTACACGAACAGCTTATTATCCCTTTTTTTAAATAATGGTATTTGAAAAATAACGTTGATACTGTCAAAACATATTGAACATGCCAGACCAAGCAGATAAAAAGCACAAAGAAAAGAAAAGTAGGCAAGAGAGGCAAACCAAAGTCTGAGAGAGAATAACAGAGAAAATTGAGAATGATAATAATAATTTGAAAAAATTTAATCTGAAAGAGAGAGGGGTTGGGCAATGGCCTCATGTCCTCTCAGACTTTACTTCACTGGAATGAGTTTGTCCCACATTCTCTCAGCTTGCTGGCCCTCAAAAAGCAGGTCACCAGCATCTGGAAAGCGTTCCTTGACTCCTGAATCATTTTCCTGTTTGACCTGAATTCTTTTGAAGATGCAGAGTCGTAGGGGATCCGCGCCAAATCCACCCAGCAATTCTCCTTGTTTTCTGCTCCTCTCTCACGTGCTGTGCGAGGGCCCCTCAATCTTCTCTCTGCCAAACGATCCATCAGGGATAAACCTGAGTTTGTGTTTTTTGAGACTGATTAGTTTGCTGTATCATTGTCCCATGGCCGACACCGCCTGTGGGCTCTTTTTTTGCCTCCGCGCAGGAAGTGCATTCCCGAGGGAGCATTGAGACGTGTTCCCTCGGCTTGTGCTCGACGGGGCTGGATGCAACCCCACTAAGGTTTAACTGTATGTATAAAAAAAAAGGCCTGACTAAGCACTTCCCTTTCATTTCACAGCCAAATGGTTTGGCTCGTGCTGGAGGACTGCACCCGGTGAACTCTATTGTGTTTAAGCGAATCAGCGAGGGCCTTGACCACAACTCAATGGGCTGCACGCAGGCATTACTCTGTTTGTGTGGATAAGAGTGGATGAAGGGAAGGATCACACACGTTTTTCAGGAAACTGGGCCGGTCACACTTGAGGTGCTTCTCCTTCAGCCCTTCAGTGCAGAATGAAAGAGGGCAGTCTCTATTCACGGCCCCCGTGGCCCCATCAATCTACTGCTGCTGCCCCAGAACGGAGACCAGTTCCTGTTGGGGAACACTTCCTCCTCCGGTCCGAGGGGAGCTGATATGGATGTCTTTTTTATTCTTTCAACACCAACAACAGCAAAGAGATCTGCACCTTTCATGGATTTTTTTGGTCCCACTTTATATTAAGTGTCTTAATGTAATTAAGTCATAAAAATAATAATTGTTAGGTACAGTGAACTTATTGTGTTCTTGTTGTATTGCAAAACACATTTGCTGGTATTGTGGTGGGATCCGGGTAAGGTTAGGGACTGGTTTGGTGGTATGGTTAGGTTAAGGTTTAAGAGTTGGATAATGGGTAGGTAAACTTTGGGCCCTTTGAAAGAATATGAGGTTGGGCCCCTAGTACCACACCCATTCCATTAATAAAATCGATCTTTTTCTTTGTTTGCAGCTGGTCTGGGCCACAACCAATCGTGTTGGCTGTGCTGTACACATGTGTCCACGTATGAACGTTTGGGGAGAGGTCTGGGAGAACTCTGTCTATCTCGTCTGCAACTACTCGCCAAAGTAAGACCAGTAACTGTGCTGTTTTTGCTGAAGTTTATTCACTTAACACCAGATGGCTAATCTCTATTCCTGATGATTATCCTATATGGAACAAAACTTTTTTAAAGCAAAGATTCCATCCTTCAAAACATAGAGGTTATAAGCTAATTTTTATCCTTTGGAAAATGGAAAGGTAAATGAAGGATTTTTGGAAAGGAAAACATTGACAGAATATGCTATTCTTTTCCAAGCTAATGATTTAATTTGGCAGCTGGGGATTGTTTTCCTAAATCAGTCCTGAGATCCGTGAGAGTGTGTGATAATGTGTTTTGAGTGCTCAGTCAAATGTGCAGATTTTGCGGTAATTTCCAAACTCATGCTGAACCTGTGCCCTCTTCTAGGGGAAACTGGATCGGGGAAGCCCCGTACCAACATGGCCGCCCCTGCTCCCAGTGTCCACCAAGCTACGGAGGAGGCTGCAGAGACAACCTCTGCTACAAAGGTGAGGATGATGAATGAGGATAGAAGAATGATTACAAAGGTATAACCAGTAGCAGCTCCTGACCATATATTTTGGTAGGGCAGATTCTGGGTCTTTGTGGCAGTTTATGATAAACATTTTGCAAGCTTTATATAATCATTGCTGAACACACGCAGAACTCTTTTGGCTGAAAAAAGGTTGCGTTATTCAACCTCAAACATGAAATAAACACAAAAGAAATATATATATATATATATTATTTACATGAGCATATCATACTTTCATTAATTTGATACGCTACTCCACATAGGAAGAACAGACAATACCAACTAGTTACTGACCTGATGCAGACTAATATACACATAGCTGAAGCCAATTGACATTATCTTGGTCTGGAGCGAGGTTTACATAAGGTAATGTGAAAATAAGCGGGGCAGTCTGAAATCTGCCCCAATGGCTCTCTATGAGAGCGCGCTGCAGTTCCATTTTTCACCACATATTTACATTGGAAAATTGTGGGGCGCTGTAGAGCTGAGGAGGACTCAGGCACTCGCTGCCCTGATGATACATAATACATTAATTCATAATACATCATGCCTGCCGAAGCCATACGTTACATTTGTATATATCCTGCTCACTTTTTTACTTAAAATAGTCTATGCAATGAAATATTTGTTAGAGATTTCTGAACACATTTACAACTTATCATTGGTTCAGTTTATATAGGGGTCTATGGCCCTGTTTACACCTGGTATTAAGATGCATTTTGGTTGATCGGATTACAAATAGGCGAGGGAGACACATTCCCGTTTACACCTGTTTTAATCCATCTCACTTTCTACCACTGCTGTCCTGATTTCTTCGAGGGGTAAATGTATGGATTTTGTTTCAGATCTTTCGATCTAATGGACAAAATAAGCTTGTGCAATTTACATATGAACACGACCAGATACATACACATACGGAGAGCAGAAGCTTTCAATTCTGACAGCTCCAAGACCGTGTCAAACGCTGTGAGTGTGTGTTAGATATCAGGAATGGTGAGAGAACATTGAGCTTGGTATGTTTTTCGTCTTCAAACTAAACTTGGGTCTCCAGCCAACAAAGTTTAAATACTATCTGGCTATCACACTTCTCATAATGTTTACTTGTTAGGTCAGTAGGCGGAGAGTAGATGGTCTTTTGCGGCTGTTCGAACGCATTCGACCATGAGCGTTTACACTACAAAAGCAATCCGGTCGAATGTGTTTTCGACTACCTCTGGAAGTGGTCGAAAGTGGATAAGCTCAAAAAGTTTTCAACCTCGTTTACACCTGTATCTAGCGCTGCCCACTTGTGATCCGATCGACCAAAACGCATCTGGTGTAAAGATTGAAATCTAATTTTTGAGTTTTTTGGTTTTTAGGAGTCCCTGAACGTCACGAGTCTCCAGATATGAATGAGGTGGAGAAGCCTCAGGAGCCGGTACAGCCTCAAACTACTCCAACTAAGCCTCAGTCCAAGCCTTTCTCCCCTAAAAAAGTTGCAAATGCCAAACCTTCCTCACCCAAGACTACAAGAACTACCTATCTAGGTTAGTGTGAATAATATTACTTGAAATTATAAAACAACTGTATATTTATTAAATAATTAATAATAATAATAATTGATACATTATTAGCATTTATTATATTTTAAAACCATTCAAATAATATAACTTTAGTAATAATGCACATTTATCTAAAGTATTAATTTTTGCCTTTCAGCCCAAATTATTAAGTGTGAGACAAAAATGAGGGACAAATGTAAAGGTGCAACCTGCAATAGGTCAGTCTGAATGAAGTAGACGTTTCTTTGAAGATTTTAATAGATGATAAGTTCTGAAAATTTACTGTTGATCCTTTTCTTCTTTCATAGGTACAACTGCCCAGCCAACTGTGTAAATAAGAAGGGGAAAGTGTGGGGAACGCTGTACTATGATGTTGTAAGTGTTACTCTGAGATTTGTTGTTGAGATGATGATCGATTTATTTAATAACCCTTTTTTTCCCTTCCTGTTATTGTAGCAATCAAGTATTTGCCGTGCTGCAATCCACTATGGAATAATTGACAACAATGGAGGCCTTGTTGACGTCACAAGAAAAGACAGCTTCCCGTTCTTTGTAAAGGCAACCAAGAATGGCGTAGAGTCATTCAGGTAGTCTGAATGTTATCATGATAGTCATTTCAATTAAGTTTGTCCACAATTAAATATCCACATTGATAGTTATTAAATCTAATCTGTGTTCTGTGATTTTTTGGTTTGTTTGTAGTAAATACAAACCTGGCAATGCATTTATGGTGTCAAAAGTGGAAGGTGAGGATTTTTACTGTTTTATCTTAATAATTCTCGTGTAAATGCAAATGCAAATATTTTGTTATCTTTGACAGAAGGTCTGGTTCACCAATGATGTATTTTCCTCCTTTTTTAGAGCCAACAATAGACTGCTACACGACAGTGGCAGAGATTTGTCCCTTCAAGACGTCCACCTCTCATTGTCCAAGGTACAGTTCAAAGTGTTGTTATACTCACCATATAGATTACACTCTATAATAGGTCATCTGGAAGTACTTTCTAATGCACCTTACCAGTTTCACCTCTATCTCATCAGAGTGTTCTGCCAAGCTAACTGCATAAACGAACCTTCATATTGGGCTCCAGTGGTCGGCAGCAACATCTACGCTGATGTGAGTACCCGCTTCTGTCCGTGAGCGTTACAGGGCTGAGAGATGGGAAATGAGGGAGAACAGGCGTTCGTAGTCAAGCACTTATGAGGGCTAAAGTGAGCGTGCTACTCTTGTGGTGAGGGCCGACCGCGGGAATTGTCTGTGTTGGTCTTAAGGGAGTTGTTGGTGGAGGTGGGCTCCATTGTCGCCACTAATTTCTCTCCGAGTGTAGACTGACCACAGAGCAGCATCTGTGTGAGTGGAGCTGGAGAGCAGCTCTCTTGCACTGACTCATGCATGCCTGAGGTCAGGTCTTGGCCTTATGGAACACTTAACTGTTTAGGGAACAGCTTAGACAGTGTAAGTTCATCCTATAGGTTCTTTATTAACTCATTAATCAACATTATGGCACAAATTAGTTTGATAGCCACTGTGAAAAAGAAGTTTGCTTAATTGTTTTGAATGTGCACTTGTAGTGGACTTCACATTTTAAAAGTTTTTTAAAAAAAATCTACTTGCAGAAAATAATATTAATGAAATGAAAGGCAGCTAAATAGAGTAAACTAAGTTAATCTTTAAAAAAGTGCACTTTGTGATAATGTTTTACTTTAAATAATTATGTTTTAAGAATATTTTGTCATGCTTTTAAAAAAGTACACTTTTTACACACATACTAAAGCATATTACTTAATTATAATTTGAACTGTAGTGTGTTATTTGATATTACATTTAAAGGTTAAATATGTACTACATTGCAAATCCATCCTTACAAATGTGTAATTACATATATTTAACCCTCTGGTGCTGTTGGGTCATTTTTAACCAAATGTTTTTTTTCCTTTAGCATTTTTTACTTTGTCGGAATAGTACGAAACTTGTTAAAGCTTTTGGCACTTGCTGTGTGAACACAAAATGGACATGATTCGAAAAGGTTAAATGGTCCTGAAAAAAATAGTCCCACTTGTGTTGTTCTAGGTCAAAAATGATTGCATTGGAAATGAACGGGAGACGAATTTCATCTATTGGAAACGTTTGATACTGCGCCCAAACATAATGTTACTGAAAGCTAATTTTTTGAGATATCAACCTCAAATTTGGAACACAAGTTTGGAATTTTTTCACTTCAGCAATAATCTGCCAAGTGTCGTCTTTAAAAAGAGACCAAATTTAAGTATGTGCTCTAAAGCATTCAAGATTTATGACAGTTTAAGTTGGAAATGAAATTTTCAGGTCTGTGCTCAAAAAGTGAATAAATGAATTATAACTACTGCATAAATATAATTTAGTACCATAAAATCCCCTAAAATACAAAATATTAAATACAAAACATAATCTAAATAAAATAAAATCATTTCATTGAAATAAACAAAAAAATCTGTCTTTTTTGACCGAACAGCACCAGAGGGTTAAATACTATACATGACATACAAGTTACAATAGAAATGACATTAAAGTATATTTTAGTTTATCATAAATACTTGTCAGTGCTTTTGGTAAAACTATATTGCAAAGACAATATAAATAATTATGTATGAGTATAACAGAAAAATGTACTTAAGACCCACTTAAGTTGATCAAAAAGCACTCTAAATTTCAGATAATTACATTTAATATAGTTATTCACTGATAACTTCAGCAATCTGTGACCGGATCATTGAATCTGTGAGATGAACTCGAAAAACGAATCAGTCCGATTTGTGAACGAATCAGTGAAATGGATCCTCTTGATTCACTGAAAAGATGACATTTACATTTGCAACAATTCAATGATTTCTTACTTAAACTTAAGATCCTCTGCAATCTGGATAATTCGCTTCTCTCACGTGTCTTTTTCTCACCGGAGAAGAGACCTAGCCTGGCTGTTTAGTGGTGTGTGAACTCAAATGAACTTGCCTTTTGGCCTTGTTGCGGCCACATTCCTCTGTAAAAGCTGAGCGTCTGTCGAGATGGCCTCAGATCAGAGCACGCTCTCCAGCAAGCACTAATTAACCCTCATTATACAGTGGTTTGGACTTGGTCATTTGTAAAGGTAGCCTTTGATTGAAAGTGCACTTATAATGCATGAGCAATTGGATGAGTATTATAAGATAATGCCACCCAGACATGTGCGATGAGCTGTGCACATTCATTACTTTAAACCGGGGTGAAGTGAGGGTAACCTCTAGGGTCACACTGAAGTGTTTAGCAGACCGAATTGAACCTACGTTCTAGGTTAAAAGAATTAAAACTGTAGGTACATGAAGTTCCAGAGAGCTCATACACACTCTGAAGCTGCCAGGCGTCTGGCCAACTTGCCTTTTCTGGAGCTCTTGAGCTCTGGCCTTGCTGGTGTGTGTACTGTAGACCTCGAAGTGATGTCATTTGTCTAGGCTCCTTTAGACTGTTTACATCTCAAGGACTGTGGAATTGAGAGAGAAAAACATAGCTGCATAGTGCTATGGCAAGCATCACTATTACTGTTGCCCGCACTTGCAACTCTGGTCCAGTTTTATGCTTTGATTTACAGAGGTATTGACACCAGTTGCAAAAAAGTCTGAAGATTTTGGCAGTTTGTGTTGACAGATTTCACAGAAGTTGCGTCGTGTATAATAGGCACATACTCGCTGTGAAATCCTGTTATCCGAACTGATTTCAGAACACGCATTTTTGGACTTTCAAAAACATGGAAAAACTCCAAAAATTCCAAACTTTGACCGGTAGTGTATGTAGTATAACACATGTGCAAGTGTGTGCTTTGAGGAAGCATGATATCAATCAACGGAACTACTAATGAAGCCTCTCTATGAGAGAATGGCACAGGAGAGCATGCCGCCTAAAATAATACGCTTTTGTCTCTTCATGTCCAGGGCTCCAGTATCTGCCGAGCTGCTATCCACGCTGGAGTGATCAAAGCCGGCGGGGGATATGTGGACCTCCTGGCTCTGGATAAGAGGAAAAGTTACACCGGGACCATGAAGAATGGCATTCGGTCCGAGAGGTACACGTCCTGTATCTCGCTTCACCTCTGCTCTGGTTTCTTCTCTTTGCTTTCTCTCAGTAACTCAATTCAGCGGTCAAAAGCCACGATGGGCCAAATCTGCCTGTGGCACGTTAGTGGTTAAAGAGTAATGGTGTGGTTTCTCATCGAGGATGGACCACACAGGGGCTCTTTGCTTATTCTCCAATGCTGAGCGCAAAGTGCTTAAATCGACAGAATCGGCTCCAGTGTAATGAAATCTAACACCATCATTGAAGGAATCGATCCTCGCCTCTTAAACGGTCGCCGGCCTTGACCGGCCTATAAACTGAGCATAGTAAAGCCATTCACTGACAGCTTGGATAGATTTTCTCCTCACCACACGCTATTCATATGATGCAATCTAGGGGAAATGGGGGGCAGCCCGTCGTGAGAACTTTATTAACAGGGAAGTATTCACATGCTCTCCATATTACCATTGGATGGAAAAGTTGTTGGTGTCTGACTCAGTCCCGGTCAAGGATAATTACAGCACATCTGATGCCAGCGAAGCAACATGTCCAATACACCAGCACCTGAAGGCCAATCCATTTATGAATAAATGAAAAGGCCAAGGCCAGGCCAAGAACAGTAGTCAATAATGGCTGATGGAAGAAAACAGCACGAGACGAGCGCTGAGCCAGTGTTAATGTCATGGTTTCCAGAGCTAATCTGAATCTAGCGGGTACGCGAATCATTAGAGGGCATTGACAGTCTTGATTTGAACATCTACAAGAGTTAAGAAGATGATCAGACCGAGCCGACCCAAAGCTGAATCTTTATCGTTTGCTTTCTGACTGTCCTTCCTTGTGAAAAAGAAGTGTGCGAAATCTCAATGAATGTGCGCTTTTTAATGTACTTCAGAATTTAAAAGTATGTTTTTAAAATCTGTACTTGGAGATAATAATAATGCCACTTGAGTGTACTTAAAGACGACTATGTTTCTTACACTTTTAAAAAGTGCACTTTGTTATAATGTCAAATTAATAACGGTTTTATATTAAAATACATTTGAAATATTAGACATTACATGTAAATTACATTACATTACATTTACTTTAGTATTTACTTAACATTAGTATTGTGTTTTTTTTAAAATAATTTGTTAATTGTTTCTTTCTCTGTCTCTGTCTTGCAGTAAAACCAATACAGAAGGTGGTTCGTTCCGTGTCTTCGCTGTTAGAGAGTGAGACGCCACTGACGGGACACAAGAGATTTGCTTTTGAAAGACAGAAGTGGAATGCAACCCCTTCCATCTTTCTCTGACTTTTGGAGGAAAGAGACATTTAAAGAAGACCAAAGTCTTCTCAAACTATTTCAATCGATGGGCTTCCAAAGGTTTTATATACAATTGTGAATAATATTTTGGCCACACATGCAACTCTTAATAAAATGCAGTGCGGTAGACATGGTATTTTAACAGCGGTGCTGGTTTAAATCGTTGTTGTTTTTAATCAAATAAGTCAGTTTATTTTTTTGGATTATATTCTATTCGTTTTGAATACATGCAAAATCTCTAATTTTCATACAAAATGCATATTGATTACACTGTATTTAATCTGTACAGTTTTTTTTTTTTTGTCAGCCCTGTTGTCTGTTTCAAAAAATTGTTTTTGCTTTATTTCAAATCAGTTTTTTTGGAAGCCAGAGCAGGAATAGAGTGCAACAGTCACCACCAACTTTTTTGCTTCGAGAATTATTTTTCAAATTCAATTTATCCGTAGGGGGAAAAAAAACTCAGTCATGAACCAAACCAACCATTTCCAAGCTGATTCACAAGATTACAAATATGTAAAATAAAAGCTCATGGTCTCAAAGACTTCCCGATTTCCCTGGCAAGAAAATGAATGGGAATTTTACTTCCGCAACCCCCGACTGTTGCGCTCTATCGCAATAGTATTGAGTGTGTACAGTACAGTAGTGGGGATCTGTCGGACCTGGACTGGGCGAACAGATGCTACGCAGAGAAATGGGAAAGAAAAGGAGGCAGAACTCCAAGCAAAAGAGAACTTCCCTTCATAATGCATGTGAGCCTTCCAGAGTCAACACTACTCGGTCATTATGGTAAAGGTGCAAAAACATTGAAACATTGTGCAGTCCTGGGAGAATTCAGCATCACTGAGTGCATGTTTAGGCTCATCTTTCATACCTTCGTTTTTGTTATTTATTATTATGTGTCCTTCAACCCCTGCTCAGAACTGCAAATTACGTGGAACGGAACCAAATATTTATGAATGTGACACATGATATGTGCTCACTTGAGAATCAAATGTCAACCCAGAGTCCTACATTACTGCCAAAAGCAAATTCATTGGAAGTTTAACTTATTCTTATTTCTCAAGTGCACAGTGGCGGCTGAACATCGATTTGTTTAAACCACTTTGATACTGCAACATTATAAAAAAGGTACTTACGCTGAAAGCATGTAAAGTCATACCTCTGAGAGGAAAGAGACTGCGGTCTAAAGTATGTCTTATCTAAATGCATATTTCTTAGTTGTATAGTGTTCGAAGTCCAGGATTCAGACTAAATATAGATGTTCTTATATGGAATATGGGCCGAGGAGCATATAACCCCTTTTGAAGGCTTCTGTTTCGCTGCTTTTTACTTTTATTTTACTTTCACTTTCTTGAATTGGTTACCTCAGTGCAGCAATATATTTGAGTATGATGTTTGTACAGTTTTTAAAAATGGTTCGTGTAAATATTCAGATTTGTGCTTTGTTTTTCAGTATTGTCAGTATTGTAAGAGGATGACGGTGTATGTCCTCGGTTTCTTTTCAAAGCTATACGATAATTGTTTTTTGCACAAATTGAAAATAAGTCTATAAAAATCTATGATAATAAGATTGTGTCTGTCTTTTGCTTCAGAAAAACATGTATTTAGGTCACTGGACTTTTTTTATATACTGTCCAATAAACAGGATACGTTGAGAACCATATCAAAAACTCCCCTAGACCACACAAGCACTGGTCAACTCCATGGACACTTCATACTGTCTCTTTTTAAGTGTACAAAGAATAGTGGGAGCTTACAGATTAGATATAAATGATTTAGACTTCAGTCGGGGTGATCGGTGGATGCATGACATGTTATAAAATGAATTCTTGGTGCGAATACCCGAAAGCAAGTAGTTTGTTGGAAGAGAGCTAGACTGAACGAGGCCTGTCCAAAATCTGAGGCAAACAGTTCTCAGCGAGAGTGGCAGTTAGGTTCTTTGCCAGAACACATTATTAATGAACAGTTTATGAGACGGGTTGTCTAAGTGCATGGAGATGCATGTTTTATGTCACACTCTGGCCCGGTGCAGGTAGTGGAACATGTTCCTGGATCAACATCTCTGTTCGTCCCGGAACAAAATTCTAATCAACCAATCAGAAGTCTACAGTTTATGTCAAGTTTAGGCTTACAACCAGGGTTAGAGCTTCCACACCAGTGTTGTACACTTATCTTTTCCCTCATAGGGATAAGTTATGGCTCAGGTTAGGTTTAGAGATGGGGATATGGTTATGATTAAATTTTCAGACAGGAATGTTGTTCCAGGATCAACAAAATATGCTGACAGGAACACGTCTAACTCTGAAAAATCATTTAGGACGTGCGATGATGGAGTCACAGCAGGCGAAAACAATGCTATATGTATATATAATAAACTGCAACTAAACATAATCATGAACACCCTTGAATAACTGATAAAAGTACAAGTACACATTTTTTTTTTACATATTTAAAATGAAATCAAAAAATGATAGTTTTTAGGTGCTGGTTACAGCAATAAAGAAAGTTTGCTGGATCTAGATGCAGCAGCTACTTTTATTAAACACAAACTCAAAGAAACAAAATACTCAAAAATACAAAATAATTTTGACCCACTTAAGTAGGACTTAAGTATATCTTTATGCGTCACTTTATAACATTTCTATTGTCTTTGAAATATTGTTAAAGTTTAGGCTACTGCTAAATGTACTGAAGCATTTATGGTAAACTAAAATTAAAACTTTTATATATATATTTAAATATATCAGTTTTATACACATTTATAATTATAAAGTTGCAATTTAGTATATTTCAAATGTATTAACTTTGAATTGTAATGTCAAAAAACACGTGCAATTTGTAATAATATGTTAGACATGACTTCAAAATAAGTGTACATCTTATTATAAAAGGTTATTAAAACATAATGATTTGAAATATACTTAAAAGAACTAAAAAAAAAAGTACTTAAGTGTGTTAAGAAACATCCCAGCTAACAGGGAACTAACATTCTTTAAAAGTTATGTAAATGTAAGGACAAAACGTTCTTAAAATAATGTTTATGGAACGTTCTTATAATGTTATTAATAGTTAATATATGTTCTCTTAATGTTGAGAAAAAACATTCTTGAATCATTTCAAAAACTGGACATTTTGAATGTTCAGAAAACATTTAGAAAACATTTTATCATTCAAAAATGATAGAATGGAATGTTCCTCTAACATTCACATTAACCAAGAAAAAAAAAAGTTCTTAATACATTAAAAAAACTGGACACTTTGAACGTTTAAAAAACATTCATAACATACTGGGAATGTCAGCAAAACATTCGAAGAACATATTTTTGTTTAGCTGGGAGAATTGAAGTGCACATTTAATACAAGTAAGCGCATTTCTTTTTCACAAGGGTAGTTATCAAAAATAAACTGGCTTAGCAACTTCTTAAAATGAGAATCAAAATCTATACACAAACTTCTGCCACTTGATGAAAGAAAGCTATTAGGCATGGACAGTTTGCATGGCCCTCATCTGTAAAAAAAAACTAAACGAAAAACTGCATATATTGTTTTGAGGACATTTTGTTTACTTTTTACTATGGTAGACAGGGGTTTTTCATTAGTTACATGATTCTGTTCAACCCTTTAATCTGGTCTTCCTCATGACGGAGACAAGAAGGAATTTGCCAGGTTTACCATAATAGCATCTCTGAATGCTTAAAACATGCTGACACTTCAGACCTGTGTTTATTGAACATCTGTTGTTGAAAGTTCTTGCTGTTTAAACGGTCGGATACTCTCTGGAACATAACCGACAAGCGCAAGAACAGTGTTGGGTGTATATAGAAACCTCATGTCTGCTGTGGTGACGATTTTATGATGACATTAATAGGAAAGAAAAAAAGAGATCTCTTAAATGTCGAAAGCGAATTGAGACATTTGCTACATTTTCCTGATTTTTTTCTTCTCTATTTTGTTCCACCAAATATTATTATTATCTTTATTTTAAAGTTTTGTCCTATAAGACACCCAATCTCTGCCAGAGTCTACAGGGCTAATCTACTGTCAAAACGCATTTCAATGTCTTGTGGATTAAGGGGAATGTATTATTGTTTTGAATGACTTTAATAATTACCTGTCATAAATCAGGGTCTGAAATCTTTGGACTACCTAAATCGGTAACACTTTACTTGAAGGGGTGTGCATAAGACTAACATGACACCTTCATAATCATGACATAACACATGTTATGAATATGAAGGAAGTTTTATGCATGTTTGTGACAACTGTCATTAAGTGTCATTCTATGATATGACATTGTTTGAGATGTCTTTGTTATGACACCTTGACACAACTTGACATTACTAAGACAATACAACCTGTCATAAACATGACATAGCAGATTAATTATCAAACTTAAGAAACTTCTTAGCTTTATTGGTTAACATTACATTAAACTGTCAGGTGGTTGGTTTTGACATTGGCTGTCATGAAGCCATTATAACTGTTTAATGACAAATTCAATTTGCACCACTGTAGTTGAGGTCACGAAAAATATTCATGACACAGTTATAATGGCCTCATGACAGCCAATGTCAAAACCAACCACATGACAGTTTAACTTAATTTAATGTAAAGTTGTCATGACAAAGACACTGACAGGTTATGATGTTATGGTTTATGTCAAGGTGTCATAACAAAGACATCTTAAACAATGTCATATTTGCATTCAAAATGTCATTATTGAGCGAAAGATACTTAATGACAGTTGTCATAAACATGCATAAACCCTACTTCATATTCATGACATATGTCATGTCATGGTTATAAAGGGGTCATGTCAGTCTTATGTACACCCCTTCAAGTAAAGTGTTACCCATAAATCTTTTAGCAAGAGAGCTGTTCTTACCCTGGAATTTCACGGTTGTTTGTGCTTCCTCATCAACACGTGTCTTAAAGCTCGAAGATCTAGGACATGACATTTGTTAATTATATGAGTCTGTTCCGGTGCGACGCGCAATTCGAAATGGGACATTTTTTGCTATGTGAAATGAATTGTTTTTGAAAACAATGGAAAAATGCAAAAATGGTCATTTGCGTGATGCACATCATCTTTAATGGTGAATGCAAACTTAAATATCCATATATTTAGGGTCATGAGATTAT